ATAATTGTAATTCGATACTTAAATTGTGACTTATTTTGTTTTACTGGTTGAGTTAAAAAGAAGAGCTTTTCGTTTATATTCAGCAAGTTGATACCTTATCTATTTCATAATTTTATAACCGTCGACGAACAGCCGACCTAATTATGTGCTTACGCCTACTCATGTTTAACTCCGTAAAATCAATTTTAAATCATATCCAAAAGACAGGAAGAGTCCTTTATAAAGTATTGAGAGAAATTTGCCACCATATTGGACTTCTTGATGGAACTAGCCCGCATTTACGTTACATTTTGAGGAAAACATCCCACGGTTAGCCTGACTTCAAGGAGACTCCTGATCTTCTGAACCACAACGGCTAGGCCTGATTAATAATAAAAAATGGCTGCTTATAAAAAAATAATTTCATTGAGATAAAGATGAACATTTAGTTGAAATCCTATTACCGCCAAGCAATCTGAAAAACATTTTCTAGGTTTTCCTTTGCATGTAACGCAAAATTTTATTACTTTAATTTCAACTTAATCTTGGTTAAAAAAAATTATTTTTATAACTTTTATAAACATTGTCTTACGCCGATATTTAAATTGCCCGTTACTTTGATTTTTGGAATGAGTTAAAAATTACAAAAAATATGAAGAGCATCTCGCTATATTCACCGAAATAATTGACTGTCTGTCAAAGACGCTAAAAAAAATATTTTTTTTATATAAAAAAAATTCATTACGATTACTGAGCATTTCGCTGGAACTCCTTAAGCGTCAAGCAATCTGAAAGATATTTTCGTGGTTTCCCTTTACGTGTAACGCAAAATATGATTGTTTTCTTAAAAAAAACATTCATAAAGGCAGCAATGTTTAAATATTTACATAAATTATGAATTATTTTATCTATATTCCTTGTAAATCAAAACAAAATGAAGAGCATTTGATTGTGGGCAATTAATTAGCAAGGTACATAGTCTTACGCGGACATTAAGTAATGAATTGGGAGATTTTGATACTGATATATATATATATATATATATATTATAATTATTTTCATGAAAAAGATTTTTATTTTTAATTCTCATCGGAAAATTTAACAAATTTACGGTTGCATGGCTTTAAAAAAATGTGTCATTGATGTGCATTTTTAATTATTACGATTTTAAAACAATAATAGTAAACTTATAAAATTCAAAGGATTTTAGTTTCGAACTCCTTCTGTTAAATCATATTTTTAAATATAAAAAAATGCTAATATAAGCATCTATACTTCAGTTATAATAGAACCAGACGCTTCAAACTAATAACTATGGTTGGATAAGTAAATATCCTTCCTTCGGTTTTAATTAATCTAAGTTCTGAAAACCAAAACTAAACAAAACCGAAACTATAGCATATAATTGCTCGTAATCTGAATGATCTCTCCTTTTAAAGCTTCAATAAACAAACAAATAAATTATGAGTAATGAATAGACATCTTTAAGCAATATACAAAATAATATACTGGTTTACGGAAATGAAAAAGTTCTAGAATTTAAATTAAATTGCTTTTTAATGATCAACACTGATTACGCGCAATGCAAAGGTACGGCGGGAATGTCAGAAAATAATCACTACGACGACGCGAACGCCACTTTTTGTGCGTAAAACCGGTCTGTCAAAAGCGTGTTGCTTTTCTAAAACCCCCAACAACGCACACCTAAGGACAAACGAGGTCTAAGGTTACCTCGCGTGTTCAAAAGGAAGCATCTTTTTCCCTTCTTGTCTGAACAGTTTTTTTTTAAAGTGAGCAACGTTTTGTTTTAGGATTTTAACCGCTTATAATTTAGATGATTTTATCAATTTTAAATCGCTTCTTTCGGTATCATTACACACTCATTTTTTTCAACGACTTATTGTGTTTTTTTTAGACTAATAAACATAATATTTAAAGTTAAAAAAATCTCAGATAAGTTTTTACAGAGAATTTTTTTACATCTTTCTGAAAATTTGTATTCAAAGCTCAATGTAAGTCTGCTTGGGAATTGGAGACATTGAATTTGGAATCAATATTTTGTATTTCGAAGAGAAAAAAACTTTCAAATCATGTTAATCATGTTTCTTTAGATTTTTTAGTGTTAATTATGTAACAAAAACATTAAAATAAATGTATTTTATTAGTATTAGTTACATCAGTATTACATATACTCCCGGGAATTAGTATTGATAAACCATAAATCGGATAATTCTTGTACTGTATTTATTTTCTTATTCATATGTTTCGCCTCCTTCTTTCACCTCCATCTTTGTATCTCCCTCTCATTGTCTAGCAAACTCTTCTTTATGAGGACGTTGAAATAATTCAACGTCCGTAGGAGTTGATATCTGTCATAGTCACCTTAAAAAAATTTAATTTATGTAGAAATTTATCAAACATTTGAAATATTAACTAAAATTTTTTAAATTATGCTGTAAAAATTATTTATATTAAACTTAAAAATTTGTAACTGAAATTTTATATATTTTTTTATTTGTTTTGCATTTTTTTATACTTTCCCAGAAAGTTTTCCAGTTTTTTTCAATAGATATTTTTCTTATGTATTAAATTCTTCTTCGTCAGCATTACTGCCTAGTACAAGACATGGTTTTCTCAATTAGTTGCCTGCAGGCAGAGTGTCTTAGAGCTAAAATATTTATAATTGTTAAGGTGCCTCACTACATTGAAAAGTCGATTTTCGATTATATTTCTGAAATTGAGATTTTTTTACTTTTAAAAATATTTGGATTTTTATCTTTCGATTGGCAGTAAAATTTCGTTGATACGATAATTCTAACCCAAGATATGTGCATTTAAAAAAGTATTAGTTTCAGTGAAAATTCATCGGAAGTGAAATTTCGAAACTGAAACTAATCATGTTTTTGACAGATTCAGTACATAAATAATTGTTTTTCATTTTTTTTTTTGCTTTTAAAGAACTTTTTAAAGTAATTATAAACAATTCGAAATATTTTAATAAGCCATATAGTTTTATTACTTTAAATATGGCCACAAGAGATTGTTGTCATTTGGCTCTCTTGTGATTTCGATTGTTGTTTGGAGTTAGTTTTCTTATTTTGATTTGATTTATACAAGAATAAATAGCTTTATTTTGGGTTATTTTATATTAATTGTTTTCAACTGATATGGTGTGAAAAAATTATCGTAATAAAAAGCGAAAGCTCTATGGAAATAGGTATTCAAATTTACCTAACAAAAATAACGTGGAAGACACTGAAAAGGAGAAACTTTCTACTGTTAGTTTCTCTAAACTGAAAAAAATTACAAACTGTGAAAAACCATGAGCGGTTTTCAATCAAAGAAAATTGATAAATGCTCTGAAATCAACACTCTTCTTGTTTATGGGTTGCGATTGATTGGTAGAGGTTACACCGCGGGCAGAAAGCTATTTTCTATACTTGACTTACCTTTCTTTGCGCCTTACAGTTTTCAGAAACAAGTGAAAAAGTTATCTGATGCTGTTGTAAAACTGTCCAAAAGCAGCATTGAATGGTTGCGTCTCTGTCATCTCCATTGATACCGGTAAAGTACTTGACTGTGAGGTGATGTCATTCTATTATAGAATATGCTTAGCATTAACAAATTCTACGAAACCTTATATTTGCCGAAATCATACAGGCTCCGCTGGAAGTATGAGAGTGTTGGTGCTCTTAGAATCTTTCAAAGATCGGCTCTACTGAATAGCCTTGAGTATGGAGAGTACTATGGCGATGGAGATGCAAAAGCTTATGAAACTGTTAAAAACGTATATGGAAAAGTGTGTTGGTTCCCACTTATGAAAGGTAAAAAGAAATACAAATCGACTTGACTGGAAAGGCAAACTGACAGATAAGTTAATAGATAAACTACAAAACTATTATGGGATTGCAATTCGGAGCAATAGTGGAAATCTTCTGGAGATGCAAAGATCAGTAATTGCTGCTTTTTTCCACTGTTGTTCTAGCTCAAAAAAACCAATGCATTTACAATGATAAATGATATTTACAATTTAAAATAAAACATCAATGTTACTCCTTATTCATATTAGTAAATCTGATAATTCTCATTGGTAAAAACTGAATTAATAAAAAGGAAATAATGTTTTTATGAAAATATTTTCACTTTAAAATGAAGGTGTAAAATATCATTGATAAGATTTCCTTGCATATTTATTACATTAAAAATGTTTTTTTTATACAATTGTTTACTTTAAATGCATTTTCTGAAGTTTTGATTTTTCGCATGTTATGAGTTACGATTTACACCACAACTTAAAAAGTTTTAGTCCCAAAGTCTTGAAATTTTGTGTACAGCTTTTTTATAACATTCTTTGAAAGATAGACAAAAAACTTTTCCATAAATATGTAATTTTTTTTGTTTGAGCAGTTTTTGTTTATTTTGAACTGTATTTTTAATTACGAGCGTAATAGTGAAAAAATTGTTCAATAACTAACTAATCATGAAAAATATTTAGAGCGTAAACAGGGGTTTCATAAAAACAACATTTTTTACCATATTTTTCACAAAATTTACAAAAAATATTTTTTTGCTGAAACAACTGCAAAAGCAGTTTTATACTACAAGGCACCAAAAAACTCTTAAGGTTTCAATTAATAGGGATTTTTAAAAAATTGTTGTCGAAGGTGTCCAGATACCTTAATTTTTAAAACTAAATAATATGTTTTTATGATCAAGATATTAAAATATTTTGGGAACTTACGGAATGCTGCTATCAGCAATCGTTCCTGTGACGGGAGGCAGGGGCAATTCATGGCACCCATATGAATGGCTCCTGGGCCTTGGCAACTATTGGGATTTACTGAAGGGGACGGCCGGGGGTTTTCTCCGTTCACGCTATTAGCTCTTGATTCGGATCTTCTGGGTGTCCTACTTTCGGATCTTCTACTTTCGAATCTTCTTACTGTCCTGGGTACTCTTCCAGATGTCCTGGGTAATGTTCTGCCAGATATCCTGCGCATTACTCCTGATGTCCTGGGTACTTGCATCTTGGAGTGGGATGCAGAAATTTTTTCAGAGCTTGGTCCTGGCATATTTTGTTCACAGCTTTGGCTTGGAAGATTCTGTTGAGAGCTTGGTGGGCTCCTTGATGGTGGGCTTTGGCTTGGAATATTCTGTTGAGAGCTTGGTGGGCTCCTTGATGATGGGCTTTGGCTTGGAATCTTCTTTTGAGAGCTTGGAATCTTCTGTTGATAGCTTTGTCCCGCTTTTTTTCTGGGCACTTCTTCTCTGCTTGGGCTTGAACTTGAATATGAGCTACTACTGGAACTTCTTGATAAGCGTCGGCTTGGTTTTTTTCTGGGCTGTACTCCCGGACTCCTCTGTGGTGAACATCCCTGATTCCTATCTGAGCTTGGTCCGGCCATGGGTGAAGGACTCTTCCTTAATGAGGTTGATCCGGCCATGGGTGAAGAATTTAAAGGCATGGTTGGTGGATTTAAAGGTATTCCTTTCTTCCTATTTTTTATCAAGAGACGTTTTTGTTTTCTTTGGATTTTGAATGTTTGGAATAATTCCTCTTCATTCTCACTGAGATCACTATCATTCAACCCTTTCATATCTGAAAAAAATATAACACAAATCTAAGTTTGACAAAAATAAAATTTTAAAAATAAATACGTAATTTTTATTTATTTTCATAAGTTATTAATTTATTTAATTTTATTATACTTTTAGTAAATATGAAAGTTTATAATTTTTAATCTTTTTCAATTTACTTCAGAGAAATTGTTGTCGTGCTCATCAGTGCTTCCATTCTACCACCACTATTAAGAAGAGATCTGACAACTTCAAAACTGTAAGTCTAATTTTATTTTTATTTTATATATTTAGTTTTATACTGTCTGTTTTATAATAGTAGTAATATAAATAATAAATTCTAAAATATTTCTTTTCTATATGTAAAGTTTAATAGCTAATTCCTGTTATTTTATTCAAAATGTTCAAACCCAAAATACCGAAAAAAAAGCAACATGATTACACAATGATAGTTATACCCATTTTACTATTTAACAAAAGGCTAACATAAGTCATGATCATGATGGAGTCATGATCATGACTTCCTGTATGTNGAAATTCATTATTCAATGCTACAAAACCTGCCCGATAGAGCTTTAGTGCTTCTACTTCAATTATATAATCGTATCTGGACAGAGAGAATTTTTCCACAGAACTGGTCAACAGCATATGTTATCCCCATTTTAAAACCTGGCAAGAATCCCGAAGAAACAACAAGCTATAGACCAATAGCCTTAACTAGCTGCATGTCACTACGAAGACAAAGCTGAGTCCAAACTGAAGTACAAACAGAAAAATAACTACACTCGAATCTTTACCAGTGCAATGACAAATTACGATCAGATCAACCCCGACACATGGCGTGTTCAAAGTGTGCAGCGCACAAAGGCACCGTATCACAAAGACGCCGAAAAAGAAGCTTTCATTTAATTTTTTTATTATTCTTTTATAAAAATAATATGCCGATTCGCCTAGCCTAGCTTGATTATGCTTCCGTATTGTATGTGTAAGTTATCTTGCAAACACTGACGCCGGCGGCCAGACATCAATGTCGAACGTTCAGTTGAAAATCGAGGAGCGCGTTGTATTTATTATTTTAAATACTACTTCCATATTTTCATTTATAGGCCCTATATAACAGTTTTGCATTGCCACTTTTTTCAAAAAATAGTTATAATAAAGCTACAATAGTATTTTGTATGATTTTTATTTGTAATTATATTTGTACGTAGTGTGTATACTAATTTTAAAATTTTATTTATAATGATTGAAAAGTATCAGATCTTTGCGACCCCCTTTCAGTAGTCTCGCGACCCCCCTAGGGGTCGCGACCCACAGTTTAAGAAGCCCTCCTATAGATGATTTCGATCCATTGAAATGTCTCATAGATTTTGAAACTGTTTAACGAGCTAGGTTAAATTTGACATTTTACTCAATGGATGATTTCTTGAAGAACTGACTTTATCATGGTTGAAAGGCTTTTTTTTTATCACTCGACAACTCATTTAAA